GAATTCGATTAAATACAGTTTTAGTTATTTTTAATAAAAGAATTAATATTTTAATATTTATATTTCATAAGTTAAATATTTATTATATATAACTAAATTTTATAGTAATATATATGAGTTAAATATTTATTATATATAAGTAAATTTTATAATAAATTATTTATATAAAATACGAAAATGATGTATCTTCCGAAAGTATTATCCAAAATACATTCCGATACAGGGTATTAATTAATAATTTAAATATTGTAACGTAATAAGTTGGTTCAGAGTTAGTGAATGCTAGAGGGAATAATATATAAGGCTTTCTCTGAGAAACAGAGTCTCATAAGTTCAATCTCAAAGAAAGTTTTAGAGAGGGGTTTTGGGTCTGTGAGCACCTTTCTCTTTCAAATTTCTCTATTTGATTTTTTTTCTTCTCTAGATCACTAATCTCTTATATCTTTTCTTGGAATTCAGGCTAGAAAGCTTGTTTTTGGAGGATTGAAGTCTGCAGGTTGAGCTTCAGGGGAAATTCTTCTTCTTTTCAATTCTTGGTAGTCTTGAGCCAATTTTCAGGTGAGGGAAGTTAGAATGTAGGTTGTTTTCGGGGTTTCGGGCAAAAATGGGGTTTTTGGTGATTTTGATGTATTAGATGGATGCATGTTGAATCTGAGATTGTTTTTGAATTGTATGAAGTCTATGTATTATGTTTCATGGACTGCATGTGGCTGGATCTTCTGATTTTCAGGTTTTGGATAGAAATTCTAAGTTTTGGGGGTGCTGTTTGAATTTGTGTCGGGCACATATTCTTAGCGTCAGACGTGCATTCATCAGAGGCAGTCATTGCCTAATCATGTCGGGCGTGAGGAGAGCTACGCTAGGCACGATATCAGATGGTGACTCTATGGAGTATTTTATTGATATGGCGTCGGGCGTAGGGTGGGTGCGCTGGGCGTGGAGACCCTTGGAAGTCTCTATCTAAATGAAGTCGGGCGTGGTGATTTTACGCCAAGCGTGGGAGAGTCTTAGAGCTCTTGAGTTGAATTTAGGCCAGGCGCAAGCTGATATGTGTCGAGCGTGAGTATGCTTGTTGTTATAATTGAGAATGATGCTTGCGCATGTTTAAAGTTGAAGTTGGATCATGTATGTATGATATATGATGTGTAGTGATTTATGATTCATACATATAATTAGTAATGATATATATGAATGCTTAAACATGATATGATACGTGTGTATGTTTATATGAGGATGATATTGATCATAGTGGTAGATTGACCATGTATGATGTATGATGCATTGTTGCATATGATGCCTTATAGCATGTATCTAGCCTAGGACTTGAGGAGAGGGAAATTGTTTTTGAACTGGAAAAGCTCACATAGAGTCTCCTGAGAGTGGTGCTTGGATAGGCCATTAATTAGATGAAAATGGTGCTTTGATAGACCACTGGTTTGGGTGAGTCTCCTCTAAGTTAAGGGAATGAGGTTAAGGGTTATTCCCTTAACCAAGTACTAGGGAAGGTGTGTGGTTCCTTACGAATAGTCAGTGGGCGAACTCCACAAGTGACTTAGTAATGCATGTCAAGGTCGTGGTAAGCCTGTATCCAGTAGTACTATACTTGACGATGGAACCGTACTTCCAAGTGTGGAAGTGACATCATCCAAGTAAACCCGAGTGAGGATTTATATCCCGGTTTGTTGTGATCGAGCGGGCGTATTGGGCGTGAAAACGGTTGGGAGGTTTTGGTAGGATGAGATGTCATTTATACTGCTCTGTTGTTAAGGAGATCTCCTAGGTAAATGCGTGACGATGCATTAGAAGATTGATATGCCTTGATATATGTCATGAGTTGCATTTATTGCATGATTGCTATTATGTTGAAGTGTATGGTGTTTGACTTCATGATTGGTGAGTTGATGATTGACTGAGATGAAAGTCCATTTTGCACTTGATTGGATGAATATGTAATATAGATTATTAGTTTGTACTTGTGTGGTTGTTTATTGAACTCTAACTTACCCTTCTATTTCTGTGTGGATGGACTATGATGATCATACCGTGTATGAGAACAGGTTAAGGTTAGGTTAGAGCTGGTGTTGTGACCGTTGCGGGAGGTGGAGTTTTGTTCTAGTATCAGAGTTACCATCTTGGGTAACTATTTGATTGTGCTTGACCGACACTAGAAGAGTATTATTATTTTGGATGACTGTATATATATATATTATTATATTTGTGCATAGAAACATAGTTTATTATAACTTTCTACATGTATGTATTTGGTTATCCAGTTTAATATCTTCTCTTAGTTTACTAGTATAATTAGCATGATTCTTCTAAGTATAGGAACCATGACAAGTCGTTACAAATATAATATAAATTTTACTATGCATTCTGATGATATTTCGGTTACAACTTTTGGAGTATTTAGCAACACTCATATAAATATTATATGTGAATGTATAAGTTATATTTGAAAATTGGATAAATAAATATTTTTAATCTTTATATTATCTCTATTTTTATTTTTTAAATTTTAAATATTTATAATTTGTTTATTTTTAAATTTCTATCTTTATTTTTTATTTTAAAATAAATATATGGAGACAAGTACCTCATATTATTATTTTATATATACCATTATTAATAAATATAGTATAGTATAATTTATTCTGTCTAGATTTGAATATGAGCAAAAGATTTGATGAATATTAAACCTCAATATAAGTAAATTTCAATTAATTTTATCATATTTAATGTCTTTAACTCTAAAAAACATACATTGAACTAAATCTTTTACCTAGTGATTATAAGATTTATCTTTGAGAGATTGACTAATTTTTTTGTTGTCAACTTTGTAACATTGTATAGACAATATTTATGGGGAAAAAAAATCTACATTGAATTGAAATTATATTCTTAACTGCTTTTTTTTTTATTTTTATATCAAACTTTAATGAAGGATGATATAAAAAATAATTAAAATTAATAAAATTAGATGATGTTAGGTAACTTTCTTCATTAATTTATTCTGTAATTGAGCCTGGAGATAAACATAAATTTTACAATAGTCATTAGATTTAATAAAATTTAATATATTTAATTATATTTAATAAATAATTAAATTACTCTCATTAATAATATTTATTACTCCTTTTCATTTCCTTATTATAAATATGACGTAAGAAGAAAAAATAGATTCTATTTTAATTTTTCAGCATACTAATTTTTTTCAATTTATATCAAAATATATTTTTTATTTATCAAAATTACAATGACAATATTAGAGTTCATATCTTCTATATATTATTCCCAATTTTTATCGTTAAATTGATCATAATAGTTCTAAAAATATGTTCAAATATTATTGTTGTATTGTATCATTTATAATAAATAAAATTAATTTTATAAAATTAATACATTTATTTATTAGTTGTTTTTAGTATATGTGAAAAAAATTAGGATGAAATTATTTACGAGATAGAAGAAATACTTGGATATTAATATAGCACTTAATGTTTGCATAAAAAAAATAATTTAGCACTTAACGTTATCGGTGTATTATTCTTATGAATAGATAAATAAATATTTTTATTTAGATAATATTAAATATTGTATTTATTAATTATAACATATTTATTAAATTTAATAATCAAAATAATTATTAAATATATGACTTTTCAATTTTACAAGATATCTCACTCTTTTTCTTTCTTTATTTATATATATATATATATATATATATATGTATGTATGTATATTGAAATGATAGAAATAGTTAGATATTAAATAACATAATAATATCATTAAAAATTTATATTGATACTTTTAAATTGGTTTCGATTGGGATGCAATCAAAGTCTCACATCATTGAAACAAGAGGATGAACGTGAATTTATATATTCTCTATTGATATAGAGACCTTTTGGGTGATGTCCAAAAGCAAAATCGTGAGGGCTTAGGCCCAAAGCGGACAATATCTCACCAATGTAATTCCTAGTGCACAACTAGTGGTATCAGACCATCTCCGATGGTCTGCTCGGGTGACTGACTCGAAAAATATGATGACTAGTAGGTGAATCCAAGTTTGGGATCCCTTGTGTCGAAAGTAGGCCACCATATTATCCGTGGTTTCTCCTGCAGGAGAGGGGGTAAACCGTGGTCCTTTATTTGAGGGGAGAATTGTTGGGATGCAAGTAAAGTCCCATGGATCCTAAGATGGTCTGATCAGGTGACTGGCTCGACGAGTATGATGACTGGTAGGTGGATCCAAGTTTGGGATCGCTTGTGTCGAAAGTAAGCCACCATATTATTCGTGGTTTCTCCTGTAGGGGAGGGGGTAAACCGTGGTCCTTTGTTTGAGGGGAGAATTGTTAGGATGCAAGCAAAGTCCCACATCATTCAAACAAGAGGATGGACATGAGTCCATTGGTAGATAAGTAAGTAATGTCCAAAAGCAAAATCGTGAAAGCTTCAACCCTAGTGCACAACAGT